ATTGACTTGCTTGCCTTTTCAATGAGAGCGGGTGGGGTGGGAGGGAGGGAGAAAATTTGGAACCCAAAGTTTTAAAAACACATGGTTAAAAAAAAATGTTTCCACATGCAACTGGGAAATAAGAAATACAGGAAATGAGGTACAGAAATCTATCCGGCCCTACAGGAAAACAGAATGGGAAGGGGATAAGAGAAGGGGGGGTAGAGATAGAAGGGAGGGCAGACTAGGTGAAGGGGTATTCAGAATGCATGCCACCTTGGGGTGGGGGGAGGGGCAAGATGGGGTGAAAATTTGGAATTCAAAATCTTACGGAAGTAAATGTTGAAAACTAAAAATAAATAAATGTATATTTAAAAAAAAAAAGACCTACTTACCCCTTCCAGTCTTCTTATACCTTATTCTTCCTGTTATATACTCATCCATACTGACCTCTACTGTTCCACAAACAAGACACTCCATCTCTCACCTCTGTGCACTTTCTCTGGCTGATCCCATTGCCCAAAATGTTTTCCTTTCTCATCTCTACCTACTGGCTTCCTTCAAGTACCTACCAAAATTCCATCTTTTACAGGAAGACTTTCCCAAGCCCTCTTAATTATAATGCCTTCTCTCTTTTAATTATTTCCCATTTTTCCTGTATGTTGCTTGTTTGTACATATTTGCTCCCATAGGGCAGACTGTTTTTTGCTTCTTTTTAGATTCTCAGACCTTAGCACAGTGCCTAAAAAGATAGCAGGCACTTAATAAATGTTTACTTGACTGATATGATGATAAAGCAGGAATCATCAAAACCACCTGATATTGGTTAAAAAAAAAAGAGAAGTAGATCAATGGAACCTACTAAAGGGAGATTGGAAAATAATAAAACTCAGGGGCAGCTAGATGGTGCAGTGGATAGAGCTCTGGCCTTGGAGTCAGAAGGATGTGAGTTCAAATCCATTCTCAGACACATGACACTTGGTAGCTGTGTGACCCTGGCAACTGCCTCATCAAAAAAAAAAAATAATGAAACTCAGTAACTCAGTGTCTATAGGAAAGAATTCCCTATCTGATTAAGAATTTCTGGGAAAACTGGAAAGCAGTTGGCAGAAACTGGTCTTAGACCAGCTTCTTACAATATCTACAAAACTGGATATATGACCTTAATTTTAAAGACTATACCATGAAAACATGTTTAATATGAATGTATATGTATAGCCTATATCAGATTGGCCATCGTCTTGGGGAGGGGGAAAGGGGAGAAAATTCAGAACTCAAAATCTTATGGAAATGAATGTTGAGAACTACAAATAAATTAATTTTTTTACAAAACCATTAAAAAATTAAAGTAGATCATGTATCTTTAAAAGTTTCATAGCTCTAAGTAGGAAGTATTTTCTTAACCAAAGGAAAGAAGCAATTACAAGATAAAATAAAGGGAGAAAAGATACAATTTTTGATCACATGAAATTAAAAAGATCTTGCACAAACAAAACTAATACATCTAGGATAAGAAGAAAAGTAATCTAAAGAAGGGAATAAAAATGTTTTATAGATTGCTGAAAGAAAGGTACACATGTAAAATTTTTGGTAGAATTTCGATTCAGTATAACCATTCAATATGGAGTTATGCAAACTAAGTATTTTTTGACCCAGAGATTCCACTATTAGGCATATACACCAACGAGGAGATCACTGATAAAGTCCTCATATACACCAAAATATTTATAGCATCACTTTTTCTGGTAGCAAAGAACTAAAAATAATGCAAATGCTCATCAACTGCAAATGACTGAACAAATTGTGGTACACGAATGTAATGGAATGTGCTGTAAGAAATTACAAAAACAGGGGGGCTGTTAGGTGGCGTAGTGGATCAAGCACTGGCCCTGAAGTCATGAGGACCTGAGTTCAAATCTGGCCTCAGACCAAACACTTGCACTTGACACTTACTAGCTATGTGACCCTGGGCAAATCACTTAACCCCTGAAGGAAGGAAGGAAGGAAGGAAGGAAGGGAGGAAGGAAGGGAGGAAGGAAGGGAGGGAGGAAGGGAGGGAGGGGGGGGGGAGGGGGGAGGGGGAGGAGGGGGGGAGGGAGGGGGGAGGGGGAGGGGGGGGGGGGAGGGAGGGGGGAGGGGGAGGGAGGGGGAGGGAGGGGGAGGGGGGAGGGAGGGGGGGAGGGGGGAGGGAGGAAGGGAGGAAGGAAGGAAGGAAGGAAGGAAGGAAGAAGAAGGAAGGAAGGAAGGAAGGAAGGAAGGAAGAAAGAAAGAAACTGGCTAAGAAATTACAAATACAATAACTACAAAGAAGTATGGAAAGACTTAAACAATATAGAATGAAGTAAGCAGAGCCAAGAAAACAGTATGTATAATAACTAGAACACTATAAATGTAAAGAACTGAATTGAAAATGAGTCCTGAAAAATTACAAAGCACAAATATGGCCCCAAAGAAGATATAAGAGAAGACACTGCTCTCCCCAACTCTTGTTTTTTCTCTAAGCATTTTCACTGAAGTCTCCCATACCTGGAATGGTTTTCCCTCCTCACCTCCACCTCTTGGCTTCCCTGCATTCCTTCAAGTCTTTGCTAAAATCCAACCTTCCATAGAAGTCTTTTATAATCCTCCTTAATTCTAGTGCCTTCTTAGTTATTATCTTCAATTTATTCTGCATACAGCTTATTTTTGTACATATTTGTTTGCCCATTAGACTGTGAGATCCTGGAAAGCAGGAACTGCCTTTTGCCTTTTTATCCCTAGCACTTAGCAGTGCCTGGCACATAGTAGGACCTTAATAACTATTTAACTGAGGTCCATGGGTGTGGAACATTGCATATATTTTCAGCTATTTTCAATGTGATCAGTTCTGCTAATTGCTTTTTCTCTTCTTCCTCTTTTTCGTTTTTTTTTTCCTTTAAAAAACATTCTTTGTCATATCGGATAGCTCTCTGGGGTGGGAAAGAGAACATGCAAGGGAATTTAGGTAATACAAAAACAAAAGATATCACTAAACTTTTTTTTAAAGAAAATAATTTTTCCAAACCAGATTCAATTTAAATTTGTCTCCTGGAAAGACAGGGTAATAGTTCATTATACAAGATAAAAAACTGGAAAACTACTAAATGAATTTTCCTATACAAAAGGTGAGGGAACTCTCAACTGGATAAGCAGAAAAGTAAACACAGATTCAGCAAATACTGATTTCCTGGCAGACTAGTACATTGTCATTCTGGTTTACAAATCAGTTTCCTTATGAAATTGGTTTGCATGAATCACTGTTCAGAATCAAATAAAACCACTGAGATCCCAAATATAAATTGTATGACCACATGCCAGAGCAAAAGTAATCATTCTTGACCATCCTGAAACCAAAAGTAAAAGTAAATGAACAGTTAACTTCATCATACATCACAATCCACTTAAACTGCTGAAATAAAGGCAGTAAAAACAGTTAGATGGGGTTTAAGGAAGCTTCAGGAGAGTTTCAAAAGGCAATCACATAGTTTGGCAGACAAGCACATCCTCCAGGTTTCTATTTAATCAAGCATTCCCAACCTCCATACCCCTACTGACCTACACAAACAATTCCCACCCCCCCCAATCCCCACAACTACCAATATGTACAAAAGCCCTTCATTACAGGGAACAGCAGAAACGTGTTACAAACAAAATCCCTTTATTATGAACTTAAAAAAAACTAAATAACCAGTATACAGAGGAAAATATGATTAAGGAAACGCATGAAAGCTTATCTAGGTTGATCAAACTAGGATTAAATATTAAATTTATTGATGGACAGGAGATGGGTTGTGAACCTGGGCAAGTCACTTAACCCCAATGGCCTCACCAAAAAGCAAAAAAAAAAAAAAGTTTAAATAGGAATACTAATCTAATCCTTAGACTCAACTACATAGCAGGAAGATTGCTTACTTGGGACAGGTAATCCTAAAAGCAGCTGTAAATGGTAACAACAAGGATGTGAGTCAGTTAGAAAGTTTTATGAGCAAACATATACAGATCAAAGTTCATAACAAAGATATCACATCGTTCAGAACCAGAGCTCTATAAAACTATAGCAACAAATTTAAGATAAAGAACAAACTGAAACTGAACTGTGTCATATCTCAGTGAAACAACTTCTAGGCGATCAATCTACACAATAAAACCCATTACTTTGAATGCATATGTGTATACTGTCAAAAGTTGCCCACTAAAAGAATTAGTTTATATAAAACATTTTTGGGGGGCTTTTTGGTGAGGCCATCGGGGTTAAGCAATTTGCCCAGGGTCACACAGCTAGTAAGTGTCAAGTCTCTGAGGCCGCATTTGACCTCAGATCCTCCTGACTCCAAGGCCAAAGCTCTATCTACTATGCCACCTAGCTGCCCCTAATATAAAACATTTTGTAAGCCTTAAAATGCTATGTGAATTCAGCTACTAGAATCTTTATTATCATTATAAGCAAAGTTTGTGTTGGTAAAATTCCAGTGACCTTTTCACCTTTCTACCTCATTCTTCTTTACATTAATCTTTTAAAAATCACTGACTTGTTTTCCCAAATCCCCTCAAAGGTAAAAATGTGCCTCCTTCCCAACCAAAAACGCATACAAACAATATATTAAAGTAATTGGCAACATTTTCTAAGTGCTTCCAACAGTCAGACCTTGGCATGATCAGTTGCCTGAACAGATTCTAGGTTACAAATATCATGTTATTTAAAAAAAAAAATTCTTTAAAAAAACACTGTCCAGATTCCTAAGTCTGAAAAAGCCTAATCTGGATGGCTTAAAAGGAAGAGGAGAAAATGTTCATACAACCTTTAGCCCCCAAAGATTCCTTTAGTATCTACTCATTAATTCTTTGATATTTGTGAGTAATAATTCAAATAACCAGCCATAGGAATTTGAATCCATATGTTAATGGCCACTTTATAACCAGGTTTTTTTTGACCACAAAGGATAAAATCTCCACAATAGCAAGGCTTTATGGAAAAATGGCCAAACAAAGTTTCTCCAACTTACATCACTGAACTCCAGAGGTAAACTCTCTGTGGGCTGAAGTTCAGCAGCACTCAAGTACATATCCATGGGGACAGCTTCCAGTTCATCTGGCACAGAGAGTATCTGCTCAGGCTTATACATCTGAGGTGGCAGTTGGAAATGCAGTGGGCAACTGGGATCCTCTGAGAGGCTGACAGGAACTGGTTTGTTGCAGGGTACCTCCTCAGAGCCCTGACACCACTTGAAAAGAACCTGATTGGTATCCTGACAGATATCTGTGAAGAAATAGCAAAAGGAAACAAAGTGGAAAGCAATGAATATTCAAAATACTAAAATATATATCTTGAAGAGTTGAAAGTTGTCCAAACACAGGAAATGATAAAAACTGGGCTACACAGAACAACTACAGTTATATCTGACACAAGACACCAAAAGGCATAATTAATTAATGAGAAGGAAAGTGATTTTCAAATTAAGTAATAAAATTATCTTAAAACTTAATTTTCCAACTTCTGTCTTAGGATCCTATCTTGTCAAATGGGAACAACGTCTCTGTCCTCAGAGATATGTGAATGATAATTCAGGTGATAAATTCATTTAAAGGACACAAAAATTAAGCAATGTTCAATTATAAAAAAAAAGTCTTGAGTACAGAAAAACATTAATAATATTCCTAGAAACACATTCTTATTCAAAGCATATATACACAATTTACTTCTAGGCATTATTGTAAATGGGAACAATTCCAAAAGAATACTCCACATTACTATGTCTCTCTCCAGGTTGAGAGTCAAAATCTAAAATGACAATGACAGCAATTCTAATAAGACCACCATTTAATATTTACACAGTGCTGCTTTTTTGGGGGGCAAGGCAGTTGGTGTTAAGTGACTTACCCAGAGTCACACAGCTACTAAGTATCAAGTGATCAAGTATCTGAGGAGGTATTTGAACTCAGGTCCTCCTGACTCCAGAGCCAGTGCTCTATCCACTGAGCCACCTACCTGCCCCTACACAGTGCTTTTGCCCAAAGCTCTTTCCCACCAGTATGTGCTCTCCTGCCAAACTCAAAGTCTTCATTTTAAATTTATCTAAAAATAAGCAATTCTTATTAATAACTAGTAATAGTGATAATAATAATAGCTGATACATGTGGTATATATTAACAGCTAATAGCTAACTATAAGTTAAGGCAGAAAGATAAAAAATCACATTCCACATTCATCTAGTCCTTAATCGACAAACATGAGCATAAATATAAATAAGAGAAACTCTGCTTATGCTATGAGTGCTAGCAGGTTATAGGCACCTTTTTCCCTTCTTTTGCCTACATGAAGAACGGAGTCACCATAGGACTATCCCCTTACAGCTCTAGCTCAAGAATACATCAATGATATATTTTCCACTTCTGGTTCAGGCAGAAGAGTTAGATAATTTCTCTTTTTTAAAATGCTGCATCACATTAAAATTTGCCCTATTTCACAGACCATAATTTTAAATAACACATCACCCTATATTTCTAAACTGCTTTAAAAAAAGAAAATCTAAGATATATAACCAAAATCTAGAATACCAACAGATTAATTGTATCTTTCCTACTACCCCAATAATCAGCTTTACATAGATTCTGAAATCTTAGTCCACTAATAACCACCTTGTCTTCCTCCATCAAAAAATAACCAGTTAAAAAGTACAGAAGTCTCACTGATGCTAAATGAAGGCAAAAATATCCACTTCACATACCTACTAATATGCAAGAATACTACTTGTCTTTTAAAACTAAGTTCCTAAATGCAACACTAAGTGGAGAATGTTTTTTAAAAGAATGATTATGAGATTACAGATCTAGAAGAAGGGACCTCAAAAGCCATTCAGTCTAATTCCTATTTTATAGAAATTGAGGGGCAGCGGGGTGGCACAGTTGACTGAGCACCGCCCCTGAAGTCAGGAGGACCTGAGCTCAAATCTGGCCTCAGACCAAACACTTGACACGTACTAGCTGTGTGACCTTGGGCAAGTCACTTAACCCCAACTGCAAAAAAAAAATTGAGAATGAGGATGGGTACACAGCTTGCCCAAGTTCACTCACTTTACTCTTAAACCCAAGTCCTGACTCCACAGCTGGTACTCATTTCTTAGCAATACACCATTAAGAGTGAAATAACCAGAAGACACAAAAATGGTCTAAAAAATTTTTTTAATGCTTCTGTGATTTTATAATTATAATCACAAAAAAATAGCTGTCTATGCACAACTTCTTCATCTGATCAGTCATTCCAAGCAACATAAAAAATCAATACCCCAAAGGCAAGATCCCTATCATACCTGCCTGCCATACACGCAACAGGCAGGCAACAACCGATGGTATAACTAACTTCTTAGCACAAATCCCTTAGCAAAGGGATTTCTTCTTTCATCTCAACTTGTCTCCTTTCTTCTAACTCTCCCCCTGGAGGAACTATGGGTAAGAGGAAAAAAATGCAAATCCAAAAGAACAGGACAAGATTCAGAAGCAATAATTCATACCTATTTAAAACTGGGAAACTTTAAGGATATTACTATTAATTACTCTCAGTATTACTATGAGAAAACTAACAACTATGTTTAAAATTTATTCTATCATGTTATAGCTAAACCAACTTCAGAAAGAATAAGGCAAAGCTCATTTAAGAATCAGCCTCTTTGAGGCTGAAGAAGCATAAAATCTGTTAGGCAAAGAACTGGAAAAAAGTGGAGGCTGTGGGGAATAAACAAACTGTAATGCATGAAATGTAATGGAATATCACTGCACAATAAGAAATAAAGAATATGAGGAACTCAAAGATATAGATGAACCAAAGCAAAGTCTGTAATAAAGGAAAAAAATACGTAAATATATATGTGCATATGCCCTTGCACGTATGTGTGTGCATGTGTGTGTGTTTGTAAAATGACTCCAACAATATAAGTAGAAAGAAAAAAAGGATGCTGTGAAATTATAATGACCAAGTGTGGTGCTGGGGAAAATCTGAGAAAATGTACCTCACTCCACCTTTTGCAGTGTGCCACATGGATATGCATACATCGTAATGCAGAGCTAATATGTTGGATGGTTTTGCTGAACCCCTTTCATCTTTATTTCTTGCTTGCTAGGTAGTTAAAAGGGGAGGGGAAATTCTCAAAAAATGAGATAATTAAAAAAACAAGGTATCAATAAAAAAAATACATGTTTAAAGATGCTGCATTTTAAAAGAATATTATATTTCTCTTTAACTAGCCAAGATCAGCCTTGTCACCTTCCCACCCCAATCATTTTCCTCATCCCTCCCAAATTGGGAACACAAGGTAAACAAAATCCATCATAAGAATGCATAGTAAATCAAAAGAAATGTCCACACTGGCCAAGAGCAAAAAACGTTATCTCATTTTGCATTTTGAGTTCATCACTCAATAAGGAGGAGGGGAGCATATCCCTTTGTAATCCTTTGGAATCCTGATTGGTCATTATTCTGATAAAATACAGCACAATAGTATTTCATCATAGTTATATATCACAACTTGATTATGTATTAGCATTATTACTATCTGTTGATTATCTAAGTTTCTAGGCACTGCCTCAGATTCACATTCTTTGTCACCTCAGAAAGTCCTAAGAAATTTTCTACATCTTTAGTTTGTTTTGCTTAGAAATTAAACAACTTAAGAACTTAAACAACTCGCTAATTTCTCTTGCTCCCCTTCATTTTTTCCTGTTGAGTGAAATGGATTTTTTTAATCTAGCTATGTGCATGTTGGGGGGGGAGGGGTTCCAGTTCAGATGAGTAAGGTTCACGTGACAGCCACTCCCCACACCTCCTTGTTCATATAGATATCTACTTGTGCAACCCAATTATGTGAAATAATTTCCCCTAACCTTCCTTTTCCTTCACCCACCCTCTCCAATTTGTATTTTCCTAAGATCATCAGGACATAACAGAACTATTCCCAATCCTTATCTAATTGGACTTGCATAAATCTTGATGATGATAGGGTTTAAAGAGGACAGGTATCATCTCTTCATATCTGAATGTAAGCAATTTATCCTTGTTTAGTCCTTTATTACTGTTCATTTATTTACCTTCTTATACTTCTCTTCACTCCTATGTTTCAAATTCAAAGTTTCTCCCTAACTCTGCTCTTTTTAATCAGGAATACTTAGAAGTCCTAGATTTCGTTTTTGTTGGTGGTGTTTTGGTGATGCGATCAGGGTTAAAAGTGATTTGCCCAGGGTCACACAGCTAGTAAATATCAAGTGTCTAAGACTGGATTTCAACTCAGGTCCTCCTGACACCAAGGGCGGAGCTCTATCCACTTGCACCACCGAGCTGCCCCAGAAGTTCTATTTTTCAATAAAGGCCTATTTCTCCTCTTCCCCTCCTCCTCCCAGTAGTTATTTTATTTTGCTGGATAAGTTATTCTTGAATGTTAGGGATGGGCTCTGCCACACTTCTGGAAGGAAGGTCTGGGCTAATCCTTTTGCTGCTTTCCTGGAGTGCTGTTATTCTGAGACAGACTTATAAACTTTTAGTGATCTCAAAATGGTCTGAGGTCTGATCAAGTGCCAAATTTGACTGCTGCCCTGTCTGAGCTCTTCAACTTCCTGACCTAGATTTGGTTTTGAGCAAGGAATAGACTCTTGCTAGCGTCTGTCCCTATGAACCGGTTGAAAAGCTCTGTTGTTTCAAAGTGGCAGAATTGTAGGCTCCCCTTTGGTCTGGGTTTCCTGCCTTGCTTACTGCTCTACAAACTGGGCTAGATCCTGGAAGTGCTACCCTGGTCTTGCATCTGAGGTCTGAGACACACCACCGCTGTTGCTGTTTTCTGAACTTTCCTCCTTTCTTGGTACACTGCCCAGGGCCTCCCTAAGTGGTGCTCAGGTCTCCTCAATCTGCCCTGGATCTGTGACCCAGGACCAGCAGTGAGTAATAAATCGCCAGTTGGCACCTCTATCCATGGCAGTGCCCTAGTATAGGTGAGGATCTCCTTCTGTGCTGGTGTGCAACCTATCACTGGGCACTAGAATCTTCCGTGTGCTTTGTGCTCCAGCCCCAAATCGGTCCCCCATATTTGCAGACCTGTCTCCCCACACCAACCTGGGCCAAAGAACTCACTATGATTTTTTCTGGATTTCTCCATTAGGAGTCAGTCTGGTGTATTTTAGAGATCCGTCTGGAGGACTTGGGGACAGGGGCCCAGATGCTCCTTCTACAACATCATCTTGGCTCTATCTCCCTCCCCAGCAAACTCTCCCAAGACTCAGCTTAACAAAGAAACTATTCAAGGTAAATGGACCCATCACTCAGAAAAGAGTAGATTACCAGGGGAAAACTAAAAGCCCTCATCAGAAATATTCAATGAGGTATCTATATCCTAAGATTGGAAAGGAACATACCCTGATTTGGCTCCATATTCTTCAGCACCTGATAGTAAAGGAAAGGAAACAAACAGTAAAGTTCCACTTGGAAAGGCCTGACTACAAAGAACCACCTTGAGAGCACTGAGTTCCTCAACACATTCTATGAAGTTGCGTTGCAAAGAGACAAAAAATAATTAAACTATGCAGACTCTTTAACTCAGCAATACCACTAGAATAGTAGTAGTTGTTGTAATTATCAAACTATATAGTCCTTAAAGGTTTGCAAAGCACTTTATAAATACCTCATTTGACCTTCACGACAACCTTGGGAGGTAGATGCTATCATAATCCCCATTTTACAGATGAGGAATCCGAGGCAGAGATTAAGTAACTTGCCCAAGGTCACATAACTGCTAAGTGTCTGAGGCCATATCTGAACTCAGGTTTTCCTGTTATGGGATCCACTGACCACCTAGCTGTCTCAATTATTATTGAGTAAATAGATTAAATAGATTAACAAATAAATAGCTTTAAGAAAGAGGAAAAGGATCCATACGTTCAAAAATATTAACAGCAATTCTTTTTGTAAAGGCAAAGAACTAGACACTAAGGAGATGCCCATCAACTGAGGAAGAGTTGAACAAATTAAGGTATATAAATGTAATAGTATTATTATACTATAAGAAAGAATAAAAGGATGGTTTCAGAGAAACCTGATAAGACTTATATGACATGATACAGAGTAAAGTGAGCAAAGCCAGGAGAAAAATTTATTTTACTGTGATACATGTGAGACAACTTCAGAGAATCCTGGGTAATATGAAGACTTATATGACATGATACAGAGTAAAGTGAGCAAAGCCAGGAGAAAAATTTATTTTACTGTGATACATGTGAGACAACTTCAGAGAATCCTGGGTAATATGAATTGATGCAAAGGAAAAGGAGCAGAACTAGAAGAACAATTTATACAAGAATAATAATTTAAATAAAATCAACTTTCAAAGACTTTTAAGAACTTCTATCAATGCAGTGACTAACCATGACTCAAGACCTTTTCTGAAGCAAGTTATTATCTTCTCTCTTAACAGAAAGGGGATGAACTCAAAGTAAAAGAGACACACTTTTTTGGACATGACCTCTATCTATGTGGATTTGTTTTGCCTATCTGTTACAAGAGTTTTGTTTTTCTTCTCTTTTTTTTCTTTCAATTTGGAGATAGGAAAGCGGGAGGGAGAGAAAATAAAAGCTTAGTAATTTTTTAAAAAATCAACGTTTAAAAGCTACAAGCAAAGGTGAAAGATGGTACATCCAAGCAACGAAACTCTGGGAGAACAAAAATTGAAAACAAACTGATCTAACTGGTTAATAAATGCAAAATTTAAGGTCAATCAACAGGATGCTACATTATTCTTAGCTGATTTTAAGTCTTACTCCAGAGGGTATTTCTTCCTCAAACTGATATATACATGTATCACGTTTAATTATTTATACTACTTGTTTTAATAAAAATTTTTTCTATAGAACAATTCAAATCAATGGCCTTGAGTATGTGTTTTATCTCACCTCAGTAACTCATCTCACCTCAGTAACTCATCTCACCTCAGGCAAAGGCTTCAAGATATAGCTGAGTTCAAAATGCAAGCTACAGTTTTAGGCTGATCAATCAGACTTGCAAGCACAGTACAAAGGACAACATGATTAGCTTCTAGGGAATGTATTTAGCAAAACCAACCAATTTCATTAACAACAATCATAACCATGAAAGGTTTTCTTTTGTGGCACTGAAAAAAGCCATCACCATCTGTTACTACAACATCCTGAGAATACCCACCCTTCCCACTCCCCCCTCGCTTATGTATATGCAGGTACTGACAGCAGACTTTGGCCTTTACACATAAAAGAAAACTGTAAAGCAAAACTTTCCATCCCCAAAGTATTTCCATAACAAAATTGGAGGTGCATTCTCAAAGAAAAAATTTAAAACTTAGCTAAGTATTTTTGGTGAAGAGTTAAAATGGAAGCACACTGGGAAATACAGTTTCACTGGCCCATTTTTCCATATTTTGGGGGGGAGTGAAAGGCCAAACTCCAAAAGAAAAAAAAAACCTATCTCCTAATTTTTGGAGCAGGAAGTCCTCAACAAGATGAGTATTATATACATAACAAGAAAAGAAAGTTCTATACCACACTGCTGCATAAAGACAAATGGCTTCTCTAAGTCAGCCATGCAGAAGTTCAATGTCAACTAAGAGATTTTTATCTATCCACAATGATTTTATGCTGTAATTTATCCATTCAATAATATGTTCAGCATTCCATTAAAAAAGGAATAACTATTTTATTAATACACAGACCATTGCATTTCCAATAATTCAAGTGTTTCTTCCTAATGAACTGACCATTCTCTATAATGTTCTGGAATGGCCAGAAGACCGTAGGATGACATTTCTTTAGGCTCCTGTTTGAAACCAACAATTCCAACAAACTGTTGGTCTTGATTCAGGGCCAATGGAAAACTGAAATCTTGAAAATAAGAAAAGTGGTAACCATTAAAGCTCACCCCATTTGGAAAAATCATAAGCCAAATAGACAAGGAGAAAACATACGATTCAGACAATGCCTGGTCATCGGGAGACACTGGTTGGAACAACGAATATCATCAACAAAAGCCAAACACCTCTGACTGGAACGAGTAGTATGTGCCTGAAACAAAGAAGAAAGAATGGATCATTCAAGAAAATATTACAATGTCATAATAAAAGATAAAATACAATTACATGAAACAGAAGTTCTCAGTTATGAACTAAATGAAAAGTTCTTCCCAGACACTTAAAAATTCTGAGTATGGTTAAGAATTGTGTTATTCTATTCATGCATACTTGTAACAGAAATATCTTCTTTTGAGGAAAAGAATGCAAGTTTTACCTCAACCAACAAATCAGGAACTAAAAATATAGATCTGGGAATCTCTCTGGGAGCAAAGAAACAATAGTTGAAGCCACAGGAATGAATGACATTGCCAAGGAGATAATGTAGACAACGAAAAGAGGGTTAAGGACAACTTCTAGGAGAATACCCACATTAAGGAGCCAAAGAAGACAGATGACTATTTAGAGAGGAAGTGAAATTACTTAAGTCCAAAGTTGTTCCAATCTTCTATAGTTCTTAATCTACATTCTTTTCAAGTCACCATTAAAAATAGATTGTTTAAGATGTTTGGCCTCTCCCTGAAATCCAATCATAAAATCATAACCTGTTAGAGCTGAAAGGGACCTTCAAGATCTTGTCCAAATTTAGTTAAGACTAAGGAAACTTAGACCCAAAGATCACACAAAACTCAACGTATTCTTATCCATCACACAAAATCCAACATATTCTTATCCTAAACTACTATGAGGTACTTTACTCACTCAACCTCTTCCATTCAGTAGGTATAATTTGAAGCTAATTTGTACTACTGGATATCTGACTAGAGTCATAGAAACAGCATCTGTATTGTTCTTACTGAAACATAGCATGGAATTAACACTGAACTTAAATAAAACAAACCTAAATTAAAAATGCCAGGAAAAAAAATAGTTCTCCAGGCTTTCAGTCCAGTAGGCTTTCCACTTCACTGCTTGTCCATGAAGTCAAATTTCAGCACCAAGGGTAAAATGCAATACTTTGAAGATTATCATCTCTCAAAACCAGAAAACGCTGCAAGTGATATATGACTCATAAGCTATTCATTTATACTTTTTTAATAACTCATCTTTTAAATTTGAGAAAAATATAGCATATACATACATGACTGTAAGTAGGTAACACTTACTCTTGGTCAATTCCACCCAATAGTAGTTTACACCTTTTCCAGGTTCTAAAACTGCAAGCAAAGAGATTCAAATTTATCCCCCAAACACATGAATCTAGATGGCCAAAACAGGAAACACATTTTTATACCACTTAAGCTGGCATTAAGAGACTCATACCTGTGCTTCTCAAGTCAATATTCTATCCTTACAGTTTCCTTTAAAAGACCAATTAGAAGCTTCAGTTGCTATAGAAAGCAGCATCTCAAATTCTACTACATGCCCAATCATTTTCAAATGTGATTAAGGTGCTGCCTTTAAGCCTTAAAATGACTTAAGTACTACTTATCTTAGATCTGTGAAAAAGCTTCACATACAAGTTTTTCAGATTTTAGTTTTCCTAGAACACCAAGACAAACTTCATAAAAACAAGATCCCCATCCTTGTGAAATGTACAGTCCTGAAGGTGAATGAGACACAAAAAACTTCTCTTCTGACTAAGGAATGTAACACATGTAGGAGACCGGTAGACAGGGAAGGAAGTTTTAGTCTAAGGAGACATAGTAACATGGTAAATAGATATGTAGTTAACTGGCACGTACTTTCCAGAAGTAATCATATCATTGATTTGCTCAGTGGGCCTAAATAAAAAGCATCACATGGACAAAGGGAGGCCAAGGAAAGATTTCATAAAGAAGGTAATAAGCACATTAAGTTTTGAAAGTTATGGACAAAAATTCAACAGTCTAAAAAGTGGAAGGTAAGCAATTCCAAGCCTAGGAAATGTGAGCAAAGGTCTAAAAGGTGGGAGGAGGCAGGGAAGAGTCTAGGAAGCCAAAATAGCCCAATTTGGCTGGAATCCAGAGTGCACAGAAAAAATATAAGACTGGAAAAATTAGACAGCACACTCAATTGTGAGCACCTAGGCAAAGGAGTTTGACTTCTACGTAGATAAAGAAGGAGCCACTTCATTTTTGAGGAGGAATGGCACAATTAGATCTATACGTTTAAAAAAAAAAAAGATTATCTGGAGAGGCCTATGAAGAATGGATTGAAAGGTAAGACCATGGAGGCATAACAAACTGTTACGATGTTATTACACACAGCAGTTTCAATAGGGCACAAAGGGGGCTTCATCCTAGGGGTGGTAGCAGTGGGAATTCAGTCACTTCAGTCATGTCCAATAATTTGTGACATCATTTGGGATTTTCTTGACAAAGAAAGGGGTTTGCCATTTGCTTCTCCAGCTCATTTTACAGATGAGGAAACTACAGCAAATGAGGTTAAATGATTTGCCCAGGGTCTGAGGCCAGAATTGAACTCAGAGAGTTTTCCTGACTCCAAGCCTGGCAGTCTATCTATTGCACCTGGGAACAGATGATGTGAAAGTTTATAGAAGCAGAATTGGCAGGACATGAAAAGGAGGGTGGGAATGAGCAATAAATAGCCTCAATATTACAGACTTAGGGATAGCAAATAGTTGTGCCACAAGCAGAAATAGGGAATTAGAGCAGATTAAATTCAAGGGAAAAGAAAAGTAGTTAAATTCAGATATACTGAGTTCGGGGTGCTGCTGGGAGCGGTAGGCAGAAATGAACTGAAAACATTTAGAAACACAAATCTAGAGCTCAGAAGAAAAGTCAGAACTAGAAATACAGATTTGAGAATCTCTGCAAACAAAGAGGGACGAAGGCACAGAAAATGAATGAGACCTTCAGAGAGACAAAGACAAAGGGCTAAGAACAGACTCTTGGAAAACACTGACTGACATTAAGGAAACAATGAAGACAAAGAAGTGATTAGAATGGTAAAAGGAGAAACAGAACAGTATGGTGTTACCAAAGACTACTGAGTTTTGTGATCACATGGTCACAGAATTATAAAAGAACTTAAGAGGTCATCTAATCATTTTACAAATGAGGAAACTGATTCCCAAGAAGGAAACTGACTTGCTTATAGTAAGGTACAGAGTCAGAATCCAAACTCATTATCTAATACCAAATGCAGAGCTCTTTCCACTGAACCATACTATGTCCTTAACGACCTTTGAAATGGCAGTTTCAATAAAGTGCTATGGGCAGAAATTAGAGTTCAAGGAATTGACAAGGTAGTGAGGAGATTAAAAAAAAGTTTTATTACTAAAACCATCTCATATTTATATAATTCTTTAAGTTTACAAAGCGCTTTCATCTCAACAATCCTGTGAAGCAGATATTTTAAAGTATTATCTCCATTTCACAGATAAGAAACGAGCTTGTAAAGGTTATTTGGTCATACAACCAGTAAACATCTGAAGCAGGCTTCAAATCTGGCTCTCAACTTCATGTCTAGTACTCTATCCACTGCTACATGTTGCCTTTTTCCCCAAGAAGTTTAGAAGTAAAGAGAAAAGCAATAGCTGAAGTAAGAAGATCAAGGGAATGTTTTTTAGGACTGGGTATACTTGCCTGTCTATAGACCAATGGGAAGGATTCAGGAAGGAAAGAAAAACTGCAGGCACATGAGAGTGAAAAGATGAATGCTAAAACAAGGTGCTGTAGAAATGAGATAAGGGTCTTAACGGTCCTGAAATAGGGCTATTCTTACGATTTCCAACTCTCTAAGAGTCTATGATACTGATTGAACCAGTTCTGTAACACTAGTGGGATGTAACCTGTCATTTTCCTTTTAATATATTTCTGTAATTATAAAATGGAAATTCAATTCCTGTACCACCTTCCTAAAGCAAAAACACACAAATTATTTAAACACCGCAAGAAAGTGCACAGAGACTCAGTTCACGCGACTCATACCAGAAGGTTACTCAAATACCTTAATATTCCAAGACTGAAATCTGGTTTACATTAAAAGGGTTTAAAGTAATCCATCTGTCTTACTACACCACTTCTCTGCCCATAGTGTCCTGGATGGAAAGAATCCACATGTTAAAGAGCCCTATCTCCAGTGTAGGAAATAACCTTTAAAAAAAAAAATGAAGGCACAAATGAAAAAGTTCAGGTATAGGAGTTTGATATCCTCCTGCACAGAAGAAGCTCTATGCATTGTCTCCCTCTATTAAAATGTGAGCTCCTGCCCAAATGGCTATAAAATTGTGCATACCCTTTGACCCAGCAATAGCACTTCTAGGGCTATATCCCAAAGAGATCACAAAAACTGGAAAAGGACCAATATGTACAAAAATATTTATAGCAGCTCTTTTTATTGTGGCCAAGAACTGGAGATTGAGGAAATGCCCATCAACTGGGAAATGGCTGAACAAGTTGTAGGATATGAATATAATGGAATATTGTGCTATAAGAAATGATGAGCAGGTAGACTTCAGAAAAACCTGAAAAGACTTATATGAATTGATGCGGAGTGAAATCAGCAGAACCAGGAGAACATTATACACAGTAACAGTCACACTGTACAATGACTGACTTTGATAGATTTGGCTCTGCTCAGCAATGCAAGGATTTAAGACAACTCCAAAAGATTCACGATGGAAAATGCTATCCACAATCAGAGACACAATTATGGAGTCTGAATGCAGATGGAAGCTTACTATTTGCTCTCCTTTTCTTTTATTGTTTTGTTTTACTGTTTCATTCTTGTGGTTCGCTCTATTAGTTCTCATTCTTCCTTACATCATGATTAATGGGAAAATATGCTTAGTATGAATGTGTAAGTAGAGTCTATATCAGATTGCATGCTGTCTTGAGGAGGTGGGAGAAGAGAGAAGAGGAGAAAATTTTAAACTCAAACTCTTAAGAAAGTGAATGTTGAAAACCAAGAATAAATTATTTTTAAAAATAAAGTATTAGAAAACGTGACCTCCTTGAGAACAGGGACTGTGTCATTTTTCTATGTGCTTAATAAGCTTTTCGGGCACCTAGGTGGCGCAGTGGATAGAGCATCAGCCCTGAAGTCAGGAGGACCTGAGTTCAAATCTAACCTAAGACCAAACACTTGACACTTACTAGCTGTGTGACCCTGGGCAAGTCACTTAACCCCAACTGTCTAAAAACTAAAAATAAATAAATGAATGAATGAATGAATAAGTAAATAAATAAATAAAGGAATAATAAGAAAATACTTTTCCATTCACTCATTAACAAGAAAAAGAGTGGGCGATAATGCTAGTAAGTGATATCCAGTTAAAAAATAGAATTTTTCCCTATCTTCCTACCTCTCATGGCCTTATAGAGCCCTCATTACTACATCACAATCAAGTTCCAAACTAATTTCTTTTTATAGCAAACTCATTTTTCTTTTCTTTTTTTAAATTAGAGAAGACTACTTCATAAAGATGTCTGAGCTTATCTTGAGCAAATTCACAGTGTAATAGATTCTATTTTTACCAAAAATATAGTTTCAAAGAGCATAGTATTGGTAAATATGATGTCCAAAATTAAAGAACAAGGCAAGGCTGACTATGGTAACCACACATAAATTTAACTCCTAAGTAAGCAGTAAGTACCTGTTGGGCAGCCCCATCTGTGGCCAGCATTCTGCGCTCTTTTAATTGTCGGTGTAGCAAGGCCTCCACACCATACCGCTGGCGGTAGCGCCGAAGACATTTCAGTTGCTTCAAGCTTTCCCGTTCTTTTGTTAAAAGTCCCTCTGGACCTGTCAAAAGGCTACTACCTGGAAAGATACAATAGTCAAAAGACATATCCCCCTTGACAATGCCACCCTAGTATACCTTTGAAGACATGACCCTGAACTAGCAGGAATAAACGGAGAAAACCTCTGCCAAAGAGGAACTAAAGTATTTAAGAAATTCTCCCTGTCACACATGCCCCCAAAAGCAATGAGAATGATCACAATTGCAGTACATTTCAGGAAAAGAGTATCAACTTGTTGGGGTTGGCACACTACTTGCCTAAGGCTTCATGTTCCGCCTTGCGGTTATGTAAATAATGACGTTTCTTTTCTTTCAACAGATGCTGAAGTCTTTTGAATTGGTCAATGTACAAAGACTGTAAACGAATCAGTTTCTCACGCATGATCAGGGCCACCTCTTCAGCTGTGTAGACGCCAGCATGCCTGGAACAAAACAGTAACCAAGCACAGAATGGGTAGAATGGCAAAACGGCAAGATCCAATCATTTTTTTTTTAGGTGGGGGCAGATGGAGAAGCAAGACTAGAAGAATGTTATATCTCTATATCTGAACTGTTACGTTATTTTAATCAGTCAGTCTGCCAGCCAACAAGCATTTATTAAATATAGACTAAGTCATAGGCTAGGCACTGTGCCAAGCACTGGGAAGACAAATTAAGCAAAAAGAATGATAGTCCCTACCCTGAAAAGAAGAGGGTGGAACATGATGGAGAACTCCAGTGAGAGATAAAAAGATAGCTGGCCAGGGCACTCTCTGAAAGGAACTATCCAATGAGAAGGAAGGGTCCACATGGTAGAGAAGGTACTTCCACCAAGGTGTGAATTCCAGGGCTAAAGGGATTCTGGGACCAAGAGGGACCCCTTTTCAACTTTCTGCAGCATGGCCTGAAGACATGCACAAGGTAAAGTGTGCATACAGTGTGTTCAGAACCAAGGCTGCAGTGAAGCTGCATGATGCAACATGGGCAAGCACTGCCAGAAACACCTTGGATTCATTACATATTTGGTTTTTAATTAATTTTTGGTTGTTGCGCATTCTAGAGCATGGTAGAAAAGTCTCAATTGCTCAAGATAAGCTCAGACATCTTTATGAAGTAGTCTTCTCTAATTTAAAAAAAGAAAAGAAAAATGAGGCAGCCAAAAAGAAGCAATGTAGAAAAGAGTGGGAGGAACAGGAGCTCTGCATCACACCTGTCAAATGTTTGTGGGTGACTCATAACACAAGGAAAATATCCTGAGACTTCTCCCCATTACCACTGTCAGGCCACCATGTCTGAAGCAATGGAGGGAGTTAACAGCCAATACTGAGAATGGCTGTGAAACTGCCCTTAATGAGGAGCCGAGGACAAGAAAAATTTCAGGGTCAGAGCCCCAGATAGGAGCCAGAGACCCAAAGGAGATCACATCAACATCAGTAAGAATGAGAAGGACGCAGGAAAAATGTCATTAAGTGGCCTCAGGTGAGAAACAAGTAAAAAAGACTTGAAAAACTATTTCACCAAGTCTGGTGAAGTGTTTGCACAATAAAAATGGACTCTAGTACACAAACATCTAGAGATTTGGGGTTTATCCTCTTTAAAGAATCTGCAATGGTGACAATGTTTTGGATCAGAAAGAATACAGCTTAGATGAACAGGTAATTGAACCAAAAAGTTTATGGCTGTGAAAAAAAAAGATTCTGTGAAGAGGATCTTTGTTGGAAAACTTAATCCAGAAGCTTACTGAAGATAAAATCCAGGAATTATCTCAGAGACTTTGGAGATACTGAATCCATCAAACTTCCAATGGATCCAAAGACATTCAAGAATCCAATGGATCCAAAACAAACAAGACAGTTTGTATTCATCACTTTTAAAGAAGATCCAGTTAAGAAGATTATAGAAAGGAAATTCCGTAATGTCGGTGAAAATAAATGTAAGGCTGTCCAATTAAAATAAGTATACCAGTGACAGCAGTACAGCAGTCAAGGAGGCTGAAGTAGAGGGAATCGAGAAGATGGCAGAGGCAGCAGTAGTGACAGCAGCAGAGGCAGTAGAAGGGGAGCTCAAAGTGAAAATTGGAATCAGAATTCTGATTCAAAATTACTTGAATCAAGGATAATGGCAAAGGGATATTGTCAGGGTAAGGGCTTACAGCAAATTCAAATACTCCTCTTATGGTTTTATGGCTATGGACTGATTAAGTAGCAAATATAGTCAAAGCAGCACAAATTATAGAAAGATTTTAAGATGTGGTTGTGTTCATCAGAATAATAAACCACACTGAGACAGTTCTATCTGGTATGCAGTAGTATACAGAAGGAATACAAATACTTTATCAGGAAATGCTCTAGGTGAACATTAAAATTAACTTTGCAAACTTTATAAGGCTTATTCAATGTGCATCTTATTTGAAATTCCCCCTTGAAAAATGTCTTTCATGTTGAATATCTGCAAAACTGTCTCAGTGTATGCTTTAATAGATTAAATAGCAATGATTTTATGGGCCTGCTTAAAGCCTAGCTCAGCTTTTTTGGCTCAGCACAGCCTCTGCAATTTTCCAGTTACACAAATGAAAATACCTTCTCTTTACACCTTTTAATTTTACATTGTTTGTGTGACACATTTCTGGATATGGAACCATTAATTTTCGGTATCTTTTAGGAATCTACTGTATTGTCAAGTACTTTACATGTGTCCTGATTACCATGAATGGATAATAATCTTTTCTAGTTTTTGAAAAAAATTTAAAAACACACCTCCTCCTAAAAAACCCACTTTGCAAGTATATACTACAGATTACAACCTCATAAAACAGGTTTTAACACCATCTGTTGTTGTTGTCAGTTGTATCCAATTCTTTGTGATCCCATTTGGGGTTTTCTTGGCAAAGATACTAAAGTGGTTTGCTATTTCCTTCTCCAGCTCATTTTATAGATGAGGAAACTGAGGCAAACATGTGACTTCCCCCAGATCACACAGTTAGTGTCTGAGGTCAGATCTGAAATTATGAAGATAGAGTCTTTCTGACTCAAGGCCCACCCTCCATGCATTGCACCACCTAGCTGTCCCATAATTCATTACATTTTCATTCCAAGATTTTTCACTCCATGAGATATCTACTAACACATTCAAGATCTTTATAAGCCTTTGACATTGTTTCTACATTTATTTGGGGGGAAAAAAAGAGCAACTCACTATAGTAGCAAAGAACTGGAAACGAAGTAGATGAATTTTGATTGGGGAACAGTTAAAACAGATTGTGCTACATGAATGTAATCGAAGAAAAGATAAATATGATGTAATACATGATAAATATAGAGAACCATGGGAAGACTTATGTGAACTAACGCAAAATTAAGCACAACACAATTAACAGCATCTAACCACATGCTACGCACCTCCTGACAGAGGTGATGGAGTCAAGACGAAGAATGAGACAAACGTTTTTGGCCATAGTCAATGAAGGAATTTGTTTTGCTTGACTATCACACATATTTGTGACAAGGGATTTTTTTTATCATTTTTTGTGGCTGGGAAGAGAAATTTAATAGGTGTTAGTTGAAAAAAAGTAAAATAAAAGTTTTTTAAAAGCAGCCAGGATAGTGGTATGTGTGTGACGACAACAATGTAAATAGAAAGGATAGCAACAATCAAAAATGAATCCTGTGAAATTATAATGAAAATGCATGCCCTCAAAGACAACATATGAGAAGGCAAAGACCATTACACTGCTATCCCCTCCCCTTCCTTGAAGGCTTGAGGAATTCTAAGTATGGGACATTACATATGATAACCAATCTTTTCTTTTGGAAAATTTTATAAATTCTGAATTTAAACTTTTATGAGCACCTCCATATACAAAGAAGAGAAAGCAGATTCTAAATTCTCTATTGAAATACTGCTAGTTTTCTTTTTAAGTATAACATAGCTAACAATAATAAAGTTAATATTTATACAACACTTTAAGGTGCTTTACATATGTTAACTTGTTTGTTCCTCACAACAACCCTATGAGGTAGATCCTATTATTATTCCCATTTTATTGATAAGAAAGGCTGAAGCAACCTACCCAGTTTCACACAACTATTAAGTTTCTGAGGCAGGATCATTTTGCCTCTCAGTCCTACCCTTTATCTACTGTGCTACCTAGATGCCCCAAAGTATATAATAAATTCAACATATAACTTTCAAAGCTGTTCTACTTTTCTGTTTTTTCTTCTGGCCTTTCTTCTGTTCTCCTCTGTACATTTTTAAAAATGCATCAATAGCCAATAGTTAAGCATCTGAGTGAAAAGTACCACAGAGAAATGTTTGTTCTTCAGGCACCAAGTTGTTCTCAAAAGTAACTGCTTTATACCACAGGCCCCAGGGTAGGGCCTGCCTTATAGTTTAGAAAACTGTCACTAACTACAGAAAACATTCAAAAATTATAGAGTTGCAACTTACTTTAAGGGGTCTTCTTGATCACTGTCTATGCTATCAGCATCACTGTCAGGATCGCCTCTCCATGTCTGATCCACAGTTATAGGCTCCTGATCCCCATCACTCCAGCTATCTTCATCTGAGACAAGAAAAGGAATGTCGTTACTAAAACTTCCCTCTTCTGTAATTCCATTACAACAGTAATACTAAAAGGCCTAAATTACTTAAACAACAACCCAAACTTCACAAAATATAAAGATCTTATTTAGAGTTTTGATACTATAGATATTTTGGAACTGAGTGAATAAAATCACCAAAAATGTATCTAGGTTAAAGTCAGGGGAAGATTATTCAATATCGAATCATATAAATGGGTTAGTCACACTTTAAGACAGGAAAACCAACTTCCTAAGTAATGTTGTCTCCTGAACTAACCAACTTTTTTTTTTTAACAAAACTAGTAAACCATTAAAAAGTTGCTCCTTTATCAGTTTAATGAAACAGATATGAAAGAAAATCAGTTTAATCACATTCAACGATACTCTTCAAATTCAAAGAAGTTGGTAACTAATAAATCAACGTTTGAATTCTTAACAAATATTTGCTAGCCTATGTGCAAGGTACTAAACCAGCAGTATGAGCTCTGTTTGTTTTTACTCAAGTCAACCCACTCCACTTTGACTCTAGAAGGAAACTCTTACCCAGGATTCGGCTGGCTTCACTACGACTACTCTCTGGGGTCTGGGAACCTAGTTCTGTCTTAGCATATGAACTCAGCTGGCATAAAAGTGTTTCGCCCATGGGTCCAGCGTTGCTTTTCTTCATCTGAGCATGAAGTGCCAGGGCATTCCTACGGGCGTGTTCTGCACAGAAGGATACACTGGAGAGATAAAACAAGAAACGAGAAAAATTTATCTCTGTAGCTTCCAAAACTTTTAGAATAAGTCCTTGAAAATTACAGTCCTTCAAGAACTCACTATTTGACAAAAAAACTGCTGGAAAAACTAGGGAAAAGTATGACAGAAACTAGGTAGAGACCAACATCTCACACCATATCCCAAGATAAAGTCAAAATGGGTACATGATTTAAACATAAAGGCTGAAACCATAAACAAATTAGGAGAGCAAGGAATAGTTTACCTATCAAATCTATGAAGAAATGAAAAATGTATGACCAAAAACAAGACAGAGCATTGTGAGATGTAAAATAGATAATTCTGATTATATTAAATTTAAAAGGTTTTGCACAAACAAAACCAATGTAACAAAATTAGAAGGAAAGTGTCTCATTTCTCAAACATAGAGAGAACTGAATCAAATTTATACATGTCATTCCCCAATTAATAAGTAGACAAAGGATATGACTAGGAAGTTTTCAGATAGAGCCATCTATAATCATATTTAAAAAATGTTCTAAATCACTAGTGATCACAGAAACGCAAATTAAAACAACTTTGAGGTACCACCTCACACCTATCAGACTGGCTAATATGATAGAAAAGGAAATTGATAAATGCAAGATGTGGGAAAATTTTGTGCACTGTTGGTGAAGTTAAGAATCGATCCAACGGTTCTACATAACAATTTGGCAGTATACCCAAAGGGCTATAAAACTGTCCATACCCTTTGATCCAGCAATGCCATTATGAAGTCTGTACCCCAAAGAGAAAAAAAAAAAAGGAAAGGATCTATTTGTACAAAAATATTTATAGCAGCACTTTTTGTGGTGGCCAACAATTGGAAATTGAGGGGATGTGTCCATCAATTAGAGAATGGCTGAACGTGTGATTACAATGGAATACTACTGTGCTGCAAAAAATGACAAGCAGGATGATTTCTGAAAGACTTACACAAACTGATGCAAAATGAAGTGAAGAGAACCAGGAAAACATTGTACACAGTAACAGCAATGTTGTATGATAATCAGCTGTGAATAGACTTAGCTATTCTCAAAATACAACAATCTAAGACATTTCCAAAGGATTCATGATGAAAAATGGTATCCAGGGAAAGAAGTGATGGAATTTGAATACAGATTGTAGCATACTATCTTCCACTTTCTTTTTTTTCCAGTGTTTTTTTTTGTCTTCTTTCACAACAGGATTAATATGGAAATATGTTTTGCATAATTGCACATATATAACCTATATTAAATTGCTTGGGGGGAGAAGGAAAGAGGGAGAGAATCTGGAACTCAACATTCTTAAAAAGCAAATGTTAAAAATTGTTTTTATACGTAATTGAAAAAAGAAAATACTACTAAAGTAAAAAAAATATAGTTCTTGAAAAAAACACACTAGACCAAACTAGTTACTATTTTAATACAGTTTTAAATTCTGATTATTATTATAAATGGCCTTCTACATGTTACGGTATTCTCTGCATGCTGTATACATTTTAGCCCTATAGATGTATTTCAGAAGAAAATTTGCCAAAATACTAAGATGTTCACCAATTTCTCCCTTACCAAGTAGGTCTAATTATTCCTGGCCTCTTCCAGAACTCTTATTACGAAACCACTTAAAGGTATGCATGAATGCATGCACATATACATAATGGAGCAGCACATACACACACACAGAGCTCCAATCTTTTTATCAGGAACTCATAACAATCTTCTATTAAATTTTCAATTTTCCCTCATATAGGATTATACTCGGCTTTGTAGTTATTCTTGGTTATAAGTCTGTTCCTTTTGTCTTTTGGAATACAGAATTCCAAGATATTTTGTTTATGGTAGACGCTGCCAAGTGCTGCAGGGTCCTAGCTATATAGTTCGTTGGTATCTGAACTGCTTCTTTCTGCTTACATTATATTTTCTTTGACAGGGAAGCTCGCTGCATTTTGGCTATGACATTCCTGGGACTTTTACTTTTGGACTTTCTTTCTGGAGGTCATCAGTGTATTATTTCTATCTTCACTTTGCCCTCTGGTTTTATTAGATCTAGCTGATTTTCACTTATTATCTCTTGAAACAGTGTTTAAGCTTTTTTTATTTGTTTTTCTAGGAGTCCAGTGATTCTCTATTTAACCTATTTTTCAGGTTAGTTACTGCTGATAGAAAAAGAAATTTTTTTTCTAGTCTTTTGATTTGATTCAAATATATCTTAAAATCTATCTAATATGTCATAAAAATCATTGATTTCTATTTAGTTTATTCTGGTTTTCAGGAAATTCATTAACTGGGTATGGTTCAGCACTTTCTAATTTAAGCTATTTATTTCTCCTTCCAATTCTTCACTCCAGAGGTTTTATTTCAGGATTTTTTCCCCCCTCTCTTCCTTCACTTCTTCTAGGTATACATGTCGTCCTTGTAGAAAATCCATTTTTTCCTTTGAATCTCTATATGTAATTACTGAATTGCTTTTTCTGGGAGGGGAAGGGAATAGATCTCTAGATCTTATAGTGTAATTTTCAAGCTGGTCAGTGCCTTCTTTGGTTTACTCAGCTCTCTAGCTTTAGTTCCTGAACTGAAGCTTTGTGCCAGGACCAAGTTTTGATACCTGCTTCACTTCTGTATGGAGGGGTTGTCCCTTAACCTATATCACCTGGGTTCCTGTGCTGATCTTTGATATTAGAGTTCTGGATCTTAAAGGCTCTTGCCAGAATTCTAAAACAGAGTGTTAAGAAGCTCAGAGCCCCTATGCAGTAAAACCCTCCTAATCTGAGCACTAGAGTATACCCTCTGCTCTTCCTGCCCCTAATGGACCAGGATCTAACCAAGGATGGCCCAAGGGGGCCCTGCAGCTGTGACTGACACCCCCACTCAGGAACCTGCAGAGATGGAACTGGGAAGGCAATAATTAGGAAAAATTCTAGACACACGATAAATACCACAGAGCCAAGTTTGAGAGCATGAGTCCAGAAGAAATGACTAACTCCATTATCATCTACAAGCAAAGCCTCAAAGAAAATCAGCTTTGCCATACATTCTACAGGAATTCCTAGAAAAAATGAAGCAAGAGTTTCATAAAAGAGCATATAACTGAAACGAAGGAAAGAAAGGGAAAGGAAAATAAATAACAATACAGAAGGTACAAAACCTTACTCAAGTAATAGATTCCTTGAAAATTAGATTAAAACAAAGATCAATGACAATAATACTACAACAAAACCAAAAGACTGGAAAAATATCAGGAAATGTAAGGTACTTCCTATTAAAACTGACCTGGAAAAACAGGTCAAGGAGAAAAGACCTAAAAATGTCAAATCTGTCTTTTCTCAAATTTCATTCTTCTTCACATTCTTCTGCAACATTTGATACTGCTAACAACAGTGAGATCCCGTATCCCCTGGATACTCTCTCCTTTCTGGATTTTGGCCATACTCCTCTTCTCTCCTGGTTCTCCTCCTACCTGTCTGAAACTCTAAACCAACCCCTCCTCCAAAACATCCCTATTTCTGCCAATGGCACCACCATTCTTCCAATCTTTCAGGTTCATAACCTCAGTGATATCCATAACTCTTCACTTTTCCTCACATATCCAATTGTTGTCCAATCTTGCTATTTTTACCTCCACAACAGCTCTCAAATCTGATCCCTTCCCCCTACTCAAGCAAGAATCACTTTATTCCAAACCCTCATTATCTTTCACCTGGACTATTGCAAAACCTTCCTAATTTCCACCTCTACCTTTTCCCCACTCTAGTCTATCCTCCCCAATTCCAACAAAGTGCTTTTCCCTAAGCACACATCTAACTATGTCACTCTTATACTAAATAAACTCCACTGGCTCCTTATAACCTTCTAGGATAAAATCAAACTTGTCCATTTTTTAAGCCTTTCAAAATCTAGCCACAATCTATCTTTCCAGACTCATTGTACCTTACTCACTCTCCAGTTCGGTCAAACTAGCTCTTTCTCTGTTGCTCACACACAGCATCTCTCCCATCTCTGTACCTCTGCATTGACCATCCTCCTTTCCTGGAACACATTCCCCCTTTCTCCCAATTCCTTCAAGACACAGCTCAAACATTACCTTCTACAAGAAGCCTTATCTGATCCCCACTCCATTTGCTACAGGGCCCTCCCCAAATACCTGGTGTTCATCTGTATTAAATTTATACTTATTTGTATATACTTAAATGGAAGCATAATGAGGTCTCTCCTGTTTCTTTATTAGGGTACTATCATAAAATAAGGAGACAGTTAGATAACTCAATGGATAGCTGAGCTTGGAACAGTATTTTTCAACTGATTAATCACCATCCTAATGTAATCACCACAGGCTAAGAAAAGAAATAATTTCTATCATCACTGAATGATGCAATTAGGCCTTGAGAGGAACAGACAAAAAGAAGACAGAAGGGAAAAACAATTTTTAAGAATATATAACTGAAAGAATATTACTGATTAACAAAGAAAAAAGCAAATGAAAGTAAAGGACACGGGGCAAAGCTGGTTGTGTGGATTAGCAGTGACAAGTTTCAGAAATGATTAATAACAGTTTTTTTCTTGTTTTTAAGTATGGTCTAACCAGCTGGACACTGTGAAACCCTGCTCTTATCCCTACCCCTATGGTTTTTCAGTCAGTCGTGTTTAGCTCTTTGAGTTTTCTTGGCAAAGACACTGGAATGATTTGCCATTTCCTTCTTCAACTCATTTTACAGACAAGGCTAAAGCAAACAACTGTCCAGAGTCACACAGCAAGTGTCTGACTCCAGGCCTGGCACTCTATCCACTTTTCCACCTAGCATGAATAAGGTTAATGGCCATCTAAGGGGAGAAAGGAATGGATGCAAGAAATGTTGTAATGGTAGAACCAACAAGACTTGGCAACTGAATGGACTAGGGGAATGTTGAAGGGCAATAAAGAGTTGCTAGTCAGTCAATTAATCAACAGTATTTAACAAGGGGGTCTGATAATGTTCCAGGCATGGTAATGAGAGGAGATGGCAAACTTGGGTGAGCAGAAGAACAGTAGTGCCCTTGACAGAAATAGGGAAGTTAAGAAGAGAGCTAGGTTTTAGGGAAATTAGTTGTTTTGGACATGAATCTGATACGCCTCTCAGCCATTTAGAAATGTCCAGTTACTAAGCTCAGAAGAGAGAAACAGATATGAGAATCATCTGCAGAGAAATAACTGATCCCTAAGGAGCGGATGAGATCATTGAAAATGTATAGAAAGAAGAAATGAGGATGCAGAACACAGCCTTGGGGCACACTCACAGTTTAAGAGTAAGGCAGAGATACCAGCTAGATAGGGCAGGAGGAAATCTGAGAGAGAGGGCAGTGCTATGGAAACCCAGAAAGTAATGTCAGTGCCGCAGTGTCCTTCTGCAGTGTCAGTGCAGCAAAGATATGAAGGATGGGGACTGAGAAAAAGCCCCAATATTTGGGGCCCCAGCACGCGCATGCATGTGTGCATATGCACAATCTCTTCTGAACTAAACTGTTAATTCTTTGGGGAAAAGAACTGTGTAATTCATCTTTGCATCCCCTGTAGCAGGTAGTACAATGACTTACACCATTAAACGAAAGAGAAAAGCCCACTCAAAATACAATCCTGTAAGAAGCCTTCCTAGATTGGCTCTACTCCACTCGTGTTTCTGCGTTTTTGTCTTGTCATTCTGCATTTGCTGACATGTTACTTGGTAATTACTCTCAAATTATGTACTTTTTATTTGCCACGATATGATCATAAACTCTTAGAGAACAGGAAATAGAACTTCTAATCACTTCATATCCTGCCCAAACTGTGTGTGTCATTCTTCACACAGTAGATACTTAAATTCTAATTAACTGTTAACTAATTACAGGGGGAGAATTGAGTTTACTAAAAAGACAAGAGGAAATGACCTTAAATTACACTATGAAAGAATGAGATGAGAATCAAGAACAGATACTAATATAACAACTCCTAATAATAATGTTTCATTGTGGTACAGAAGTGAGTCTGATTTTTCCAAAATATGCCTTTCATAGGCCAACATACCTTGCAAGTTAGAAAACAGCAGACCACGTCCAACTAGGCAGTGATCCATGAAACAGACAAAAATACCATAAAGGTCCTCAGTCCTGCAGGATACCCTAACACTTCCTATGCACTCAGATAGACATGACCCCAGTTGGGGCCTTCAATCACCTTTTGTCTGGACTACTACGATAGGTTCCTTTTGTAATCTCCCTATCTCAAGACTCTTCCCATTCCAACCCATTCTTTACTGAGATGCCTAGGTGATTTCTTTTAAAGCACAAGACTAGTCTGATCATATCATATCCCCCTTGCCTGCCCAATGGGCTCCAATGAATCCCTATTTACCTCTGGAATCAGATATAAACTTCTCTGTTGGCATATAAAGCATCTATTCATAACCAGACTCCTTCCTAGCTTTCCTGATGTACTTACTGTTTTTCCAAGGTAATGCTCCATCTCCTACTTCTGTGCCTTTGTATTCACTGTTTCCCATGCTTGGAATACTCTGTCCCCTCACCTTATAGCCTCTTAGTTTCCTTGGCTTCCTTTAAGACACTGTTCAAGTTCCACTTTCTTTAGGTGGCCTTTCTCAGATGCTTCAGCTACTGGTCCCTTCCCTATGGGATAACTTTCCATCTACTCTGTACAGTAAATATCTCCTAAGTGCCTAGTTATTTAGATGTTGTCTTCTCCACTAAAATGTACACTTCTGAAGGGCAGAGACTAACTTTGCCTTTCTTTCTATCACAATATTCAGCACAGTCCTTGGCACATAGATAACACTTAATAATGTTTCTTGATTGACTGATGTTCAACATTGCCCTGAAAACATCACTGCAAAGTGACTTTAGTTGATTCATCACAAATAGACCCCACTAAAATTTTTGAAATTTTTTGAGTCATCCAGTTATCCATTTATAACATCATTTCCATGTACACCCCACAGTGTTGTTTCATCTAAGTTGGTGTTTGCACAGAATATTACATTAGTTTACATTAGTGCATTCTTGTAATTTTTATGCCATGAATCTTTTCTACTTTCTCCACCCTTCTTCTTCTCCATTCTTTGATAAAAAAAAATCACCTTAATGATTTCCTGCTTTGATTATACCTGTAAAATACTTGCTTCTTGTCCTTATTAATTACGATTTCAGACAACACCCCACCCCCATGTTAATTAGGAATTAAAAAGTAGCAGCTCTGAGAAAGAGGTGGGAGCCAAGTAAAGCCTTTGAAATTAGAAAAGCAGTATTATCTCAATAAAATTATGCTATGGGTGAGAGTGGCTGGTAAAGTAATTTTCAAGGACTGATATAAGTGCAAGTATGGACAATAAAGAAAAATATATGGCAATAAAGAAAACAAAATCAAAAGGTCAATTTTCATAAAGATCACTTGGCCCAGAAGATAGTGAAGCTCTATGCAATGGCCAATGCAAATAACTAATCAAAAGAGAAAGTGGATGAATTGTGTGGCTGAATCTATGCAAATCAATTAAGACTTAGAAAAAAGACATATTTGTCTTGATATAGATGAAGAAAATTATCAGCATACACAATTAAGGTATCTCAATCATAACTTCTGAAAAAAGACATAATCTTGATAAAGATAACTAGCATTAGCAACATACGCAAATAAGGTACTATCCATCTCTCTCCCCCTATATATGATATATATATGTCATACACATTATATGTGCTTATATATATGTATACATATACAAACATTTTGAGCACAATACTCAATCTTACCGCAATCACTTATCTCATTCAAAAAAAAGACACTGTCCCAGTACCAACCTGAAGATTATTTGGTTCAAACTTTAAGGAAAAAAACTTAAAATTGTCTCAAGATTTGCTACTATCCTAGTATGACGGACACTGAATAAAAATGTAACAAGTGGACTACAAAACCTGTACAGAAAAATAAAGTAAATTCAGCACACCATACTAACTACAAGTTCCTTACTATATGCTGTTCCTGGCTCACTAATATTTACATAACACCTTGAGGGGGAGGGAGTTCAAAACATTTCCTCACATCATTTTTTTATGAAGCTAAGAAGTGAATGTTACATTGGTGTTAAGACATACACAAAGATGAATGTTACTCATATTGGTTCGTTATTAATGGTGCTAAAGTTTGAGACAAAGCAAACACTCAATCCTTTCTGCCTTTACAAAACATTCTGCATTACCTAATAAAATATTCAACAGCTCAACTGTCACTTTCAGAAAATGACAAATTCACTGTAGTTAATAAGAGCCAGCATGCACCACCTTCAGCTCCCAGTCTCTATATTCCAATGCACCACAACGAAAATACCACCACACCGTTCCCTCGTCAAAGCACTGTCCTATTCCAAAATGAAACCCGATCAAAAAAAAAAAGACCAAAACCCACATACCCATCTTTCTTCTCAGGCTTAGGGCCAGCGTTTGGGCATCTCTTTCCATTCTTGGTGGATATGTAGCTACATTGCTTGAAAGGTGCATTCCTGTCTTCAAGGATATGTTTAATGCAAAACTCTTGCCCTTCGAGACGGGGCTGGGAGCATGGACGGTGTGTGAAGGAACAAGACAGGGGCTCCTGAGACCTGGGCACTGGGTTGACGCGCCCCCGATTCGATGGCAGGACGTGGATCCGAATTCTGTTCATACCAACACCTGCGGGGGAGGCGGAGAGACTACACACTGAGAGGTCGGGTTGCCCAAGGGTCCTCCATAGCCCTTCCCCCATTCGCCGCCAAACCCAGCCAAGTCCCCACATTCAGACCCCAAGAAGAACCGTTTCTCTTTTGAACAAAAAAAAGAAAAAGAAAAAAAGGTCAAAAAGTAGTCTCACCTACCCTAAGTCGGCCTACTAAGGGCCCTAGGAACGGTTCCTCCTGCCCCCGGAGTCTCGCATGAACTAACAGAGAGCTCGATTTCTACCGCGGCTTCCCTTTCTCTTTGGGGGGGGGCGGCTCCAGAGCCACGCATGCGCGTCGGCTCGGCTCCCCTGCCCTCAACTCTCCCCAGGTCCTTTTCATAGGAAAAAGCCAAGAAAGCTCTCGAGGATCTCTCCTCCCCCGCCCCCGCTTCCCCTCTCCCAGCCTCGCGAGGCCTTCTTCAGCACCCCGCCCTCGGGCTCCCTCCCAGTGGCTTTGTCCCGCCCCAGCGGCGGAGCCCGACCCTCCCCCAACACGGAGCCCAGCCGGCCCACGGAGACTCTAGCGAGCGCCATTTTGGCCCAAGGATCAGGGCGTCCAGAGAATCCTTTTCGAAGGGGGCTGGGGCAAGTATGGGAGGAAAAGAAATTTTAAAGCCCCCTCAAAGGGCGCCGCCATTTAGGCTCAAGCCCCGGCCCCCGGTGGAGCCGAAGGGGAGAGACAAAAGAGCCGCCAGGCTACCAGAAGAGCGAACAGGCCGGCGCCGCCATCTTACCTCAACGGCCTTGCAGCTAGTTCTCAAGCGCTTCCCCCACCTACCTCTAGCTCTGCTCACCCCGCCCCCTATCTACCGATTGGATCCTTGGCTAGAGGATGCGGCCACACCATTGGCAGAATACTCACGTCCATCAAACCTGGGCGGGTATTGCCCTGGGAGGAAATGGGGTGGGAGTGGGGGTGGGGCGGTTGGAACGGATCGTCTCTGCAGTTGGAGCCGATGGGAGGTGAGAGAACAAGAGAAGATCAAAGGTTCGCGGGCTTTTAATGGTCCTGGCGAGGCTGCGCCGGCTATTAACCAGGTTCCGGGCTGCAGCAGTGACTTCCGTTGGGATTTTCCCAAAAGGGAGGCGGTAGATTATAACTTCCTCTTGGCGCCACGTGAGCCTTAATAAAAGTTGGCTGAATGATGTTTGTTGGCAAGATCTCCCACCTATCATGACTCCAGGATAGGCAGCCTCGAGAGCTGGCCTTAAAACCGGGATGACCAGGGCACAAGTCCCACTCCTGACGTATTTGCCTGTGAGCTGGGCAAGTCGCCCAAACTCTCAGCCCTCTAGGCAGCTAGGACTGTGTAAGTCACAGAAAAGGAGGTTTCCCCACACAGGAATGATCCCTATCCACTCTAATGCTCGGTTTGGGAGGTTTGGTTTGGTTTTTTGTGTTTTTTTTGGTGCATTCTATTATACTACTCTGTAGTAGTCTCAGAACAAATGCTTTGGGACCTCAGTAAGGGCATAGGCACTCAAGATAGGGTGGGGAAGCCACACAGGAAAAAAACATGTAGATAAAGAATGCAAACTATATTAATAATAGCTAGCATTTCTACAGCACAAAATGTTATCTTATTTGGTTCTCACAATAATCCTGGGAGAGGAGGCGCCATTATTTTTAGGTGTCAGTGAAAGAAGCAATGTCCTCATGGAGTAGCTACCCTTTCCAGGATAATTGAAATATTCACTCCCCTTTGCCACTTCCAGGCTCTCCTTCTACCACTGCTACTCAGTAACCTCTCTTTTGAGGTTTATTCAATCTATTCTACCCAATCCAGATTCTAGTGGCTGCTGGCTTCTGACCTCCATGACATTCCTCTTCTTTTCAGGCTCCAAGCCTTTCTTTCCTCAGCTTCTGCCTCATACTAATGAACTTCAAACAATTTGATATTCCCTTAAAGCACCCTAACCTCGAAGTTCCTCAGTTTATTCATTTCCAATGACCTAATCATCCCACTTCACCTATACACAGAAATGGTCATACCCTTGATCCTGCTATCAACTGTTCGGTTTCTGTGTTCATGAGCTCTGAAATTCACTTATCTGATTACAGTCTGTCATTACAACTTCCTCTGCCCTCAGCCCATAACCCTGTTCTTCATCCTCACTGTGACCTCCATCCCTCTAATCCCTCCACTCCTCAGTTGTTTCTCTAAACCTCTAAACTGGCTACAGTCAGGCACTGGTTGTTTGTGAAGATCAAACAACTATAAAATAGAATAACTCTCTCATCACTTCCAAGTCTTAGAATCCCTAATTTCCTTCAAGGCTTTAACTCAAGCTCCACCTTTTATATTGTAAAGATGGGGTTGAAATTACCTCACCCCATTTTTGCTATGATGCCTAACTAGGTGAGAATACATATCAATCATTCATATCACTTCAACTAATTGTGAAAAATTATTGAAAGCATTGAATGAAGTGCAATAATGCTAAAAAGGAACTCTGTTCCAATAGGATGGGGGAAATGGTGATCTCTCAGGGATTGTCTATAAATTATCAAGTGAGTTGAGAACAGAGAAAAATTCCAGAAAGTGGAGCATGTGGTTTCTGATGAGCAAAGGTACGAGGAGAACAGAATATCCAGGCTAGGGGAAATAGCAAGAAAAAGTCTCTACTTTCCACAACATCCCTCCCCAATGCTTTTCTATCCATGTAACAATCTCCTGTTACATTACCCAAAAGTTTCCAGTATGCTGCATTTTGCCTCAAGCACAAAGAGGTCAGGGGTTAACTAGAGATAGATAAAAATATAACCCAGAGCTCCCAACCTCTTCCTAAATGTTGGGAATTTTCCTAATGGGGGCCTCAGAAGTGATGGGGCACTAATGATGTACCCGCAAAAGGCCCTGGACTTTCCCGTGTGGCCCAGGTCCCTGGCATTCACCTGAGGCTCATCTCAGTATAATTCTTTCAACTGTGCTTGCATTGTGGCTTTGACCCTGCCCCAATCTCCAATTCTCTGGTACTTCTAAACCAGCCCAGGCTTCACGATCTGCACCTGGCCCCACCCTAGACCACCCTCCTTGATTCCATCTAGATCCCTTCCTTATGGCCCAGGTCCCTGTCATTTGCCTGGGGCACTCAGCCCATCCTGGTCCTCTTCTGTTACTTCCCAGTCACCCCAAGCTATTGGCCACACTATAAGAAGGTCAGTCTCATCAACCAAATTGCTCAGATTCCTTTAGAGTCTGGCCCAGTTGTGTTCTCATTTCAAAGGCTCAGATTCTTAAAATCTGGCCAATAGCACAGATTCTTAAAATCTTGCCCACCTCAGTCAGTGTTCTAATAAATCTTGTCTCTGACTGAAAGAAGGCTTGAGTTGAATTTATTTGAGGCAGGAGCCGTGTCTTCTGCCCTTGAATTTTGGGGTTCCCCTAAACCTCAACAGAAGGCTAAAACTGAATTCATAAATTTTCCTCTAAGGATGTGGTAGACCTGAGGGGCCATTATATTGCTTCCTGGACTTTAAATGAGGTTATCATTGTAACAGTGAGTATCCCTCCCACCAACCCAATTAACTTGTAGCTAATTTGTATATACCTATATCTGTAGGGAAGGGTTGGAGATCAGTTGATAGTGGTAGATATGAAGTCCCCAGTATCTATCCATATGAACTCTGGGAGCCATGGGGCTGTGACTGTAGCTGAAGAGACAGTTTTTTCCCTCCATCCATCCTAGAGAGAATAAGGAATCAGAATGCCTAGAGAGGAAAAGTTTCTCAGGGGGTAGCCAGTGATTCAGCTATAACAGTATGTAAAGGCAAAGAGGGCTGCCATTTCACCCCCCTTTTCCAACTCCACCCTCTTCACTGGGGCAACCCAAGACTATTGTGGTTAGTTTTTGTTTTTGTTTTTGTTTTTTGCCACAGATTGAGCAACAGAGATGGGAGCTGCTCCTAGGGCTAGGGATGGTACTGATATTGCTGCTGCTGCTATAAGCAGGGGTGAAATATGAAACTACCCAAATGGTGGGATCCCCCTCTCCCTTTTATCTCCTGGGGAGGAGAGTGTATATTAATCCCCAAACTCATCTCTTTTCTTTAAATTTATATTTTAAATTTCTGTTCACCTGGTCTCTAAAGCCTAACATTAATATAAAACCAAGGTGAACCCAACACATTAATGGTCTGAATGAATTTCATTTGCTTAGGACAGTTAAGAGTGAAGTTATGTCAGCTAGCTACACAGAATGAGAGAAGGAAACTAAATTGCTAGATGTTTATTTGATGGGATCTTGGAACAAAACCAAAGAGATTTTTTTAAAGTATTATTTTAACTCTATTTTTAACTTTTTTTTTCTCTACTTGAGCATTTAAATATTTTATTAGTTCTTTCCACTTGCTTCTTTTAAGCAGAATTCTCTGGCATTATTGTTACTGAACATTTTAGTTTTGATAATTTTTTATTGTTCACATGCTCATTTCATTTTTTCTTTGATGCTTTGAAATAGAGTTTAATTTAGCTCACTGATTTAGCTGGTTTGGGGGAAGTTGTTACAGTTTATAATTTTGACTTGCAATTCTGTTCTTCTTGTACACTTCTTTTTTTGTGATATTTTATTTTCTGTCTCACAGAAGTTTTTAGTTTGATCTTTGTTTTGAACCCTATTTCTATGTTTAGTTTTCTTTTGTTTTGCTACTATTTTTGTTTTGTGTTTAGTTTTTTTATTCTCTTTGTACCCTCTGTCCTATTCTTCTATATGTTATATATACAATGTAAGTCTGCTATTTAATGGCCCTAACTGCAACATCTAGCATTATGTAGTTGCATGTCAGCTTGTAAATGGAACACTGTTAATGTCATTCCTGGTAATCTGCAGATTTGTTCTTCTATTACATGCTACGTCTCAATTGAGAAGCAACTTGGTGTTGTGGATAGAATACTGATCTGGCCTGAGACGTTTACTGGCTGTGTGACTGTAGGCAATTAACCTCAGCTCCTCATTTGTAAAATGAGGGAGTTGGACTAAATGGTTTCTAAGGTCTCTTTGAGGTATAAATCTATGCTCGTATGAATTCCCTAGAGCACCACTTTGTAGTATCACTTGAGGTAGAAAACTGTATGGCCATTTCATTTTTGTATTGTCAAATATTGTCACTATGGAGCAATATTTTTAAAATATGAGTATTACATGTGAAGTATGCTATTTTTAAGCCTCTATCATTTTTTAATTTATGTATTTAGTTTTCAACATTCACTTTTATAAAATTGGAGTTTCAAATTTTTTTCTCCCTTTCTCCTTCCCCCCCCCCAAG